AGCTTCATCCCCGTAGCACGCCCCTCTGCGCCTTGCCATCCTCCTGAGGGGTGAGGGGATGAGGGGATGCGGTGCCGGCCAGCGAATCGGCGTTCCGCAGGGCCCGTCAGGACAGCGGCCGCCCCACCCGGCGGGGGAGAAGTAGCGGCGCGCGCGGCCTACGCCGGGACACGGCAGCGCACCCATCAGGCCACCGCACACCTCGGCTCCTCCTGGACGTGCAGCCCCAGGCCAGCGGACGGAGGGTGCGTAAACCCCTCGCCACTCGGCACCGCCCCGGCCCGGCGCCATCCTCGGGCGTGCGGACCTCCCGGAGGCCGTCGCCGCCCCGACCGCAGGCCCAGGGCGAGAACAGGCTGCGTCGCCACCTCGCCCTCCTTCCCCGGGCTCCGGCTACTCACGTGCCAAATGGCGAAGAAGATGAGCGCAGCAGTGAGCAGCAGCGCCAGCATGTAGCAGAAGGCCGCGAACGTGAACGCCATGGCCGGGGAGGAGGAGCGCGGAGGAGCCCCGGTGCCAGCGGAGAAAGGCAGCGCAGGGCCCTCTGGGTAAAATCATTCACTTCCCGCGGCCACAGCCGAGACCGATGCCTCCGCTCCTACCTCCCCGGCGCCCTCCCTCCAGCGCGCCTGCGCACCAGCTCCGGCGCACCGGCGCCCTCCCATGGCCGGAGTCCGCCATGCACTGGCATTGTCTGCATAGCGGATTGGTTTATTTTGCTTTCTTCGTTCGTTTATTCTTTGAACAAATATTTATTGAATGAGTGCCTAGTATGTTGCAGGCGCTGTACTTCTCCTCTGAGATACAAAGAAGAGTAAAATAATACTTTCACTGAAAGAAGTTAGTATAGTTCCGGAAACGAATGCGTAAATAAATCATTACAGTATTATAACCCTGTTAACGGAAGTCTGCGGCCTGTTATGAAAGGTCAGGGAAGGGCACTCAGCCAGCCCTTGAGCGTTCAGGGAAGGATTCCTGGAGGAGATGTTTCTTAAGCTGAGGCTTACATGATGAGTACAAGTTGTCCAGGCAGAGACGGTAGGATCACCCGTTTAAGGAGAGGGTCCAACATGAGCAAAGGCCCAGAGATGAGAGAAAGGAAAATAACTCAGTGTCTTAGGTGAAACCACCTAAGCAGTTTGAATTAGAGGAGTATAGCACAAGACAGTGCTGAGAGTTGGAAAGGGGTTAGCAAGGGTTCGGATCATAGAGGGTCTTATGCCTGCTTAAGGAGCTCAGACGTAGGCCCATGTTTTTCACTGTTTCGCTCACCACATACAATAAGACTTTTTCATTGCAAAACAGCAGAACGTTATATACACATTGAATTACAGAGAAATGGACATTTAGATATAGAGAAAAAAGTGGATATAACAAAAATTTCACAAAACAATACTAAAGATCTATGAGTACTTGCCCTTCTATCCTTTTTTGCTGTTTTGTTTTTAATGTTGGTTGTGACCCACAAAATTGGTTCACTACTGGCTAACTGATCGCTGCTGATGGAAATGGAATTCACTGAAGGCTTTTAAGCAGAAGAGGGACATGTTTAGCTTTGCATTAAAGATCGCTCACACCAGCAAATTGTATAGAGAATGGTTTAGAAGCAGAGTCTACCCAGTGCTGTCCAACAGAACTTTCTACAGTGGTGGAAATGTTCTTTATCTGCACTGTTCAATCTGGTAGCCAATAGCCACATGTGGCTAGTGAGCACTTGCAGTGCAGCTAGAATGACTGCAGAATTGAACTTTAAATTTTACTCGTTTTAATTAATTAAAATTTAAAGAGCCACATGTGGCTAATGGCTACTGTCTTGGATAACACAGGTCTATACCATCAGGATTATGTGATGCCTTTGTGCAAATTACAAAGGTACTCTCTCCAGATAAACAGAGTTCCACACCGAGGCACAAGAATACAGGCTATACTTCAGCCCCTTGATCAGCCACCTGTTGCAGTATACAAACTGCCCAACTATACATGATGACCCTGATTAGAGAAGTGTGAGATTGGAAGCAAGGAGCCCACAGCAATGATCTAGGCAAAAGTTGCTGTGGCTCAGACTAAAGCTGGGGAAGCTGGGAGGGAAAAGAATGAATATATTTGATAATACTTAAGAGATAAGTTCAGCAGGACTTGATTGATTGGATGCAGTGGTGAGAGAAAGGAAGACATCAAAAAGACGTATTCAGTACTACAGGCCATAGAAGCATGGCAAAATGCAGCATTGGCCAGTATTCATCCAGGAGGACTCATAATCTAAGGAAGGCAGATTTCTACTTCATTCAAGGGTAGCATTTTACGTATCAAAACAAAGATTTATTCTGTGTTGGATAGAATTCTGACTGATTTGCTCAGAAGCTGGGGCAGTAGGAAGCCCCCTTCACATCTTATCAGTGCAAACAGGTAAATTTTAGACCTGCATTGTCTGATACAGGAGCCATTAGTCACTTGTGGCTATTTAAATTGATTAAAATTAAATAAAACTAAAAATTCAGTTCCTCAGCAACACTAGCCATATTTCAAGTGCTCTATAGCCCCATGTGTCCGCTGGCTACCACACTGGGCAACATAGATAAAGACTATTTCCATCATTGAAGAAAGTTCTATTGGACAGCATTGCTTCAGACAATATTACACAACTGTAATCGGTTAGAAAACACACCCATTTTAATGAGGGCAAATGGCTAATTAGATCAACCAACCACAGACAAGGCAGTTGGTGAGGAAAGTAATGAGTTTACTTGACATTTTGGAGGACCCTTATGAGCAGTATTCTTTAGAAGTTGCATTAACCCTTTTAGCCCATGGGAGTAATTTTATAGTACACAGTGAATTGAGTTCCTGCTTCTACTTGTATATATGGATGGGGCTGGATGATATTGCAAAGAAATACCAATCTCAGGCTCGGTCGCTCACTCTCTCCCCGCCTCTCTCCTTTGCTTGCTCAAATTGCCTTTGTTCAACTTGTTTTTGCATCAGTTTGCCTCCTCTCCACTCACTGCCCATGTCGTCAGCCCAGGCAGCTAGAGAACTGGAAATCAAAACCCACACATGCAAAGCATGTCGTCTAAGAATTGGACCTGAAAAGTTCAGACACACCAGAGAGAACTCTCCAGCCCCTAGACTAAATAAAGAAAGCCAGTGCTGACGAAGAGGGGAGAGGAGGTGCAGAACAGATAGGAGAATGTGAGCTCAAGCAAGCTGCAAGCTCACCCAGGAACATGCACCGCCTTTCCAGACTCCAGGGAGCAGTTTGGCAGCTGAGCTCACTGTTCCCTTCCGCTGGTGTCTACTGAGAACTGCCATTCGACAGCAGGCCATCTTCACACATCTATCATCCAAGTGGGAGTGATGCTCGCCACTCCGCCCAGCACCACATGCAGTTCACACCAATGGGATGATCCTCTTTCCTTGGCCCAGGAGGCTTGTAAACTATGCACCCCCTCCATGGGGAAAGCGTGAACAGAACCCTCACAGACATGATACTAACATAAAGGGAAAGCCGCAGCACTATTGTGAATTTGCCCTCAACCAACTCAAGGTCTCCCACAGGTGTGGAACAAGAGGGTGATGTATCATCCGGGATATGTATACCATGTGGAACCCATGATGCTCTGGGGGGACCTGGGCCCTGGCCTTGAGTAGTGAGACAAGAACCCTGAGCACAGAAAGTTGTAGGCCAGCAGTTCCCAATCTTCCAGAGGAGGTCTGCATATGTGCGAGGAAAGCAATTTTACCTGGTGTTCGTGGGTCACATCTGGACAGGTGACTGAGACGTAAGCCTTGGAAAGAATAGCCATGGCCAGGAAAAATGGGGGGTATAGCAGGAGGCATTGGTTGCCTCCAAAGACACCCCCACTTCTTTCTTGTTGGCAGAGCTCAAAGCGCATTCAAGGATTCATGGCCTTCATGCCATGTGCTTCAAGGAGGAGCCCTTCGCCAGCCCAAGGTTTTGGGGAAAGGTAGCTCCTGCCTCTCCAGAATGATGTCTGATTCCTGGCTGCTCTGCATGGGGCAGAGATGACAGCTGTTCATGTCATTTTCTGTTTACCACATCCATTTCTAAATCACCAGGTTCAGGCTGCGTGCAGCTAGAGAGCACTGGCTGTCCAGCAAGATGCAACTCCTCCTATCAGGTGGCTGTGTCATCCACCTTGCCCTTTGCCCTAGGAGTGCCTGTTACACAACCATTATGAGAGGAACCGCTGTACAAAAATGACTCAACTATCTCATATGCGCAAAATACGTCTCTTTATTGTTACTGTTCTTTTTGTGTTTGCCTTTTTTTCTCATAAAATCACATGAAGGTAAAAATTTAAAGATGGTGAAAAATACAGATTTTAAGTGTATAAGGAGTTTCAATACATGCATACACCTGCATAATGACCACCCCCAAACAAGATAAGCACTGCCTTCCCCCCACAAAGTTCCGTCATTTCCGCCTCCCCCCACCCCCACTGCCCCGCCATAGGCAACAACTGTTCTGCTTTCTAGTACCATAGGTTAGCTTTACCTGTTCTTGACCTTCATCAAATGGAATTCTATGATATGTTCTCTTTGTGTCTGGCTGTTTTGGCTCACATAATATTTGAGGATTTTCTTTGAGATTCTTCCACAGTAGTTCATTTTAAAAACAAGTTTATTAAAGTAGGATTTACATAACATAAAATAGACCCATTTTAAGTGCACAATCAATGAATTTAGACAAAAATGATGCACTCAGGTAAGCACCCATAATCAGTATGTTCAACATTTACAAGACCCCACAAAAGCTCTTCTGTGCCCTGCCCAACGCCCAGCCCAAGGCCACCGCTAATCTGTTTTCTGTCTTTACAGATTCGTCTTTTCTAGTGTACCTTATCAATTAAAATTATACACTATGTTTTCTTATGCCTGGATTCTTTCAGCCTGTTTCTGAGATTCATCCATGTTGTTGGTGTATTAGTAGTCATTCCTTTTTATTGCTCTGTAATATTCCATTGTATGAAGACATCACAATTTGTTTATCCATTCTCCTATTGAAGTACATCATTATTTCCAGTCTGGGGCTGTTATAGATAAATATACTATATACATTCTTGCATGAGTCTTTTTGTGAACATATATTACTTAGGAGTAGAATTGTTAGGTCACAGAGAAGGATCTATGTTCTTGATCATTTTTAATCACTGAATTCCAACTCCAGTTCCACTTCCACTGACTTAGTGAAAGATTCTGTACCAGGTATTACTGAGGTCCCTCTTCCCAGTGTCACACTAGAGTCCTGGAAATGCACGTGGTCACAGCAGCAGAACTGGCAGATATTAGAATCATTGCCAAGGCTGGAAACTCTGGTCCCTGCAGGCTCCTGAGGTCACCCTTTCTGTTATGTCACCACCTCCAGGGCCCACAGAGCAGGGCATGTGTCTCTACTCCTGGGTTCTGTGGACTGCTTTCTCTCCAGTGTCTCTCCACCTGTGGCCTTGCCTTCTGCTGCTGGGTGTCCTTGTATACCTCACATTCAAACTCCCTGAGGGACAGGGTCTGTGTGGTCCTTAGGGGTTGCTGTCCTGGTTGGGCAGTGCAGTGCCTAGACTCTAGGTGCCCACAACTGTGCAAGACCCACA